CACTGCATTGGCTCATCTGTCAATGCAGCTGCAACATGTCTCAGTTCATGGCAACGGAAACACCTGACATTGCCCCAGTTTGGTTTGCTGGCTGGCACTGGCTTCCCTTGTTTTGGACGCCAAACTTCAGATCAGGCACCAACAAACCATCCCCCTGTCTCCTTCCCAGGCTTACCACCCACTTCCCCTGGAAGTCTTACCAGCTTCCTGGGGAGACCGTGGCTTTGGGTGGAAAGTCCGTGTGGCTGAAGGGGGTGTGGCGACCAGGCTCTTTGTGGCAAAGTACCTCTCAACAAGCTCCACCAGGGTGTTCGCTGACTTGGGGTTCCCTTGGCTCACCCACTTTTGCAGGGAACCTGGTAGTAACCTCAGGAATTGGTCCATGACCACACTCTCCACTATTTGTGGCCTGGACAGGGACTCCGACTGCAGCCATTTCCACACCAGGTGGATTAGGTCAAACATCTGTGATCTTGGGGGACTCATCTTGAAAGGTTTAGCTGATGACCCGTTGCGCTCGAACGGCCAAGGTTACACCGAGACACGCCAGGATTTCCTGCTTGACCTTTTCGTAGTCTCTTGCTTCTGTAGACTCCAGATCATAGTAGGCCTTCTGCAATTAAACAGTAGAGAGGGCTGAACAATCCGTCCCACTGGGTGGTCCTTTTAAACGACAGCAAAAAGGCTTCTGGGTCATCATCTGCAGTCATTTTAGAAAGGAAGAAACCCACATAGATGGCTGATGGCCTCTCTCCAACATCCTCACTTTTTGCAGGTGACCTGCACGACCTCAGTCAGGGTTTTCCTATCCGCTTTTGCAGCAGTGGCTAGCTGTTCAAACAGCCTCTGCATTTGCCCCTGTACAGCACTAATTATTCGCAGAGCACCCTTGTTTGCTCCTACACAATAGTGTTGGCTTGCTGTTGTGCAGCGTTTGATTGCTGCTGTGCATTAGGTAGCACCAAGTGTTTGAGGATTTCCTCCATGTTTTATTACTGGCCCTTTAAGTAGCAGTTCTTTGATAAGAGTGCACACAATCCTCCACCATATGTGAGCTGGGGATAGGTGCCGGGATATATGCTTCCTAGGGTAAGCAGTCTTTCAGGCACAGATACCAAATCCAGTGAGATTAGTGGCAAACAGTGAAGGTGTTTATGAGTGCTATTTACAAAACTATATACAAAGTGCTGTACAGTGTTTAACCAAAATAAACAGGCAAAGAAAATATCAAACAAAAACCTAACCATATCCCGGCTCTCGCTACACAGTAATGCAGGTCCTAACTATCAGACTGATCAAGCCTACCGCTTTTCAGTCACAACATACACAGCTTGTTAGTATCCACCAACCTTTCAGCTCTCCAGACAGGACTTGTCTGATCCCCAGGCTGAGAGCTCTGGCTACAGGTCCCGGGTGGATTTAATTGCCCACAGAGAGAGGTAAACCCTGCACTGGACCTCTTATCAGAGATCCCTAAAAGGTATAATAAAGGAACCTGGGAGATGTATAAACCCCGAACAGAACTTTCCCAGGGTTCCTTTTAGATGCTCCGCCACAATTTGTATTGTGTTTTTTTCTGGATTTATGGTTGATATTCTGTCTCTATCATTTAAAATGCACCTATGATACAAATTATAGACCCTTCATTTCTTTGTAAGTGTGCAAACTTACAAAATCTGCAGGGGATCAAATAATTATTTTCCCTACTGTATGGTTGAGAAAAAAAAAAAAAGTCTGTGGAAAACACTGACGGCTAGATGGAGTGAAGAACGCGGTGCTCGACCCCTGCCCTTCTCACCAACTCATGAAAAAGTTCCAGCCAATCTCACACCACACTGTCACTTGTGCAACAATGCCACTCTCAGCTGCACCCTGCACAGCTCGAGGGACCACAATCTAGGTGCCAGTAGCCTGAGAGCGATTGTCACTGGGTTAGGTTACTTAGCAATTTATCCTTCTAACTCCAAACTGCCACCAGATAGCTTTGGGCCTATCATCCCTTCACAATGTTAGCAAGAAAAAATGTGAACAATGAATGCCTGTAACATACACTATCATCACAGACAGGTATATTCAGAGGATTATTATATACAGTAGAACTCTTCAAGAGACAGGGATTCTTTAGCTTGCATTAAAAGCCTTAGAGATAGTTTTAACATTTTTCAAAATAGTGTTTATTAATGAAAAGGTCAAATGGTGCAATTAAAATATTTACAGAAAAGATGTTACAAAGAAATAAAGAGAACAATAACGCAACAGAGAAATAAAATAGAGTTAAGAAGGAAGAATACTTGCAAAGTCCTTGGTTTTAGCAGAGTCCAATTGTCCAAGAAAAAACGTTACCTCGGTTCTCTTGGATTTTCTTGGTTAATGTTAAAATGAGAGCTACCTTAACAGCTCCTGTCAGTCCCTTTTCTGTGATGTCTGATGGTTTAAGAGATGGATGCTGGGAGGTCACCAAGTTTATGACCAAGTCCCAAATACAGTTTTATACTAATATTAATAACTTCCAATATGTGCAGGTGGTATTCTAGAAACTGGCAGATTATTATTCAGAATTATATTTCATATCCAGGAATACCAAACACATCATACCTTGGACGGACTGTCACACAGGAGGGAGGAAACGGCTTTCTCCCCTTTCGTATGTGCTAACATAATCATGTATGACCTTGAATTGTTCGGTATGATATTCCCCATTCAAATATATACCTAATATTAATGTGTCCTGTTCCTGTTGGATTTTACGAATTGTGTGCGGAATTGTTAAGTTGTGGAATAAACGTTTTATGTCACACTCTGTATTCCTAGAGCTTTAATGGCCTTACACCTCATGTGTAACAGGCTTGACTGAGTTATGTTGCTTTACGATAGGTGAGAGGGAAGACTTTTTCATGGTTCCTGGAACCAGACATCAATGAAAGTTTTACAACTCTGACCAGGTCTGTTTCCTCTAATCTGTTGTCCCTCACTGAGATGAGAGGCTCTTTTGAAGTTTGATAAAAGCTATGGCTATAAATTCCATAGTTTGCAGGAGGAGAGAGGGAGTAAGATCCCTGCTCATGAAACAAAATAGCTGAGACCTTAACAAGATGGCTGTCGCTTACAGCAGGGGTGTTAAACTGGCGGCCCTTCAGCTGTTGCGAAACAAGTCCCATCATGCCTCTGCCTTTGGGAGTCATGCTTGTAACTGTCAATCTTGCAATGCCTCATGGGACTTGTAGTTTGGAAACAGCTGGAGGGCCGCCAGATTGACACCTCTGGCCTACAGCTTCCATGTTCCTATTGCGCACAATCATTACAGATGTCACTCTCCAAAGATACATAAAACAAAACGCTTTCCAATGATGTATATGCTTCATTTACTATTTAAAGTATATCTATAGCAATATTTAGTTTTGGATAGAGTAGGCAGTGGATAAAACAACTGTCACTTTTTTGTTATCTATGTGGCACTGGGTTAATTTCTCTTCACTTACCTTCCTGTAGACACAGCAGGAAGAGAGAAAATCTCTTCAAATCTGAGGGAAACCCGCTCCTAATTTTTACCAGAACAAGTGTGACCACTGAAAAATTAAACCACTATTCCTGTTCCAATGACAACTCAGAATACAATTTTTTCCTCCACTTTTAGCTTTGGGGATAGGGGTCACTAGAACAATTAGAGAGAAAATCTCCCTAGAAAACACCCAACACTGGTACAATGAAGGACACAATCAAGAACTGGGAGCGAATATAACGCCTTCATTCCCCCCATTCGGATGGCAACTCTCCTTCTTCCCCCTTTCTGGCTGAACCACAATGTTCCAAAGATTGCCGCTGCCCTGGTCCCAGCTATATGGGACACTAAAGGTGTTAAAACTCTGGGAGATATAACTCGGGGCAGCAGATTACTAACTTTTGACAAACTGAAAGTACAGCTCATCTTGCCTAATCACTATTTTTTTTTTAAATATCTCCAAGTACGCCATATATTTATATCACAATTTGGCTCCACTTGGACAGAGACTTAGCCCTCCACAATTGAAACATTGCTGTTTGATGATTCTTTGAAGAAGCCATTGTCTGAAGTGTATAAAAAACTATTCCAAGTTCCACTTCCATAGGTTATCTGATGTTGGGCGAAATGGGTGGAAGATATTCCAGATCGACGACTGCAAAGATATGATTTCCTTGTCCAGGTTATCATGACTCCCCAGTTCTAGGATACTAAAATGGTTGTATAAATGACCCTTGAATAACTGGTCCAAAGTATAACTTCGTCTTTCAGGCAATTGCCCAAGAGGGAGGGAGGGTGGTGGAAGTGACTACAGTGTGACTGGTTTCATTTTGGGTAACTGTTTTCTCTGTTTTTGCCTGGTACTGCGTGGCTGAGCTTGACTGCTAATTGATGTTTATATTTTTCTACTATTGTGTTTACGCACCATGCTTTGGTGGGCAATCCAAGTGCAAAGTTTTGCAATTTTGTATTTTGATGAAGTTTCAATAAAAAGAAATAAAGAAATTAAAGAAAAAAAAAAAACACAAGGATAGAGTGAGGTTTTTACCCTTCTACACTATATCCAAAGCAAGGGGTCTGCAAACTTTGTACGCAAAGGGCCAGTTTACTGTCCTTCAGGCTTTAGGGGAGCAAGACTGGGCCAGTTGGAGTAGAAAATGCCCTAGTATCAGTGCCCCATCAAATGTTTAAATTGGAGGAACAGTGCCCCATTGTTGATGTCAGTAAGAATACTGCTGGTGTCAGTAGGGGGAATGGTGCTCAATCAGTAGTGTAATAGCACCCCAAGGGCCAGATAAGAGCAAGCAAAGGGTCACATCTAGCCCCTGGGCCACAGTTTGGAGACCAAGGTCTAAAACTAACTATATAGTTTTGGTATTAGACTTTAAATATGAAGGGACACCCACAGTTCAGAAATACCTCAATGTTTTGAATATTTTCTGTCAAACTTCTAAAACTTTCAGGCAAAGTTCTGTCTATGAAAAGCATTATGGGAACTCACAGTGAAAACCTTCAGTGCAGCACAGTGCAGTTCAGGGAAGGGCTGGGTGGCGATACTGCGGAACAAATCCATTGGCTGGTTGGATAGACATGTAAACCAAGTTTCTGACATGGCCAGAAGATCTTCGGTATGGTGATCTTCCTGCGAGAGAAAAGTGACAACCTACAGATTACTATAACTGGTTGCTGTTACATCAACTGCTCTGCATACAGCTTGGCTGATAGCTCCACACAAGCACAGCAAACATTTCATGGGTCTGTGGGCACAACTGTGACTGAGAGTACTATACATTTACATTACCAGATAACTGAAATTATGCATGTTATTATTATTATATTATTATACACAATTTATATAGCACCAACAGTTTGCGCAGTGCTTTACTGTATAAAGGGGGACAGTACAATTACAATACAGTTCATTAACCTCCCTAGCGGAATGATTATTTCAGATTTTTGGTGCTGAAAGCGGTACCATTATTTTGCATGGAAATATGTAGTTTTTTTATTGTAGGCCTGTAATTCTTAGGAATAACTCACTGAAATCTGTCCGAACAAGAGTCTAGTAAACATCCCGGGTATGATAAAATTTGAAACACAAAATCAAATTATAATTTATTAAATAATCATAAAAAATAATAATATAATATTACATTTAATTCAATAATATAATCAAACCAAAAACACTGAAATTTGAAATATAGCGCCAAGTTCGCACATTGCTGAGCAAAGTCGCAAAATTGTTTTCAGTGTCTGATGACAAATTTCCCCACGAATCATTATCACTCAATTCTGCAAGTGGTTCTGATTTACTATCGCTGTTCTCTAGCCGGTCTAAAACCGCTTTTGACCAAAAGGGACGCTTTTTGGACGCCATGGACTTTTCTAAGTTTCCAGGCAGAAAGAACATTCAAAATGCAGACAGGGGACAGGACAGAGCACTAGGGACAAAATGTATGTGAAATGGGTTGAAACAGCAATGTTTTACTATGTAAAATCGTTTTGAAAAAAATGACTTTTTTTAAATTTTCAAATTTCCCGTCGCCGCCCGTACGTCCCGACGTCACAGGGACCGGAACACAGGAGCCGGATGCCGGCATCAGCCGGAGGAGATGGCCGGGGACGCTGCAGGGGACACATTGCAGGAGCGAAGGACAAGGTAAGTGCTGCAGGGACTCCCTATGCAACACCGCATGGTAAGCCCGAGTGTAGCTCGGGGTTACTGCTTTTGGTATAGAAATTTTACCCCGAGCTACACTCGGGAATACCGTTAGGGAGGTTAAAAAAGAAATAGGAGGGTGTTATGTTGGCTTGTTTAGCCTTCCACATTTTATGAAAAGGGGACTTTCTATCTCAGTGATGTCATCGAACAGAAAGGGCCTTAGTTCTGAGTCTGTATATGGCATTACAGACCAAGTGACTGCAGAGATTTTTTTTTCTACAGAGCAAGTCTGATAATAACAACAATACTCACTGGCAGAAAAAGGAGGGATGCGATGGAGTCTAAACACCGCACTCTCAGCTCTGTAGGGGCATTTTTTGCATGGTGTCCAATTCGCTTAAAAACATTGTTAAACCTGGGTCCTGGAGGAAAAAAAAGTAAAGGTTATTCACTGGAAAGAATGGCATAAAAAGGTAAAATTACAGATGGGAAATAAGACAGGAAAAATGATCATAGGTTCTGAATTTGTGTTGTGAACATGCACATCTACACAATAATTTTGTGAACACCGATCTATCACATCTATCTGAACTTATTAGGAATCCCATTCCAAAACCACGGGTAATAATTTGCAGCTGCACCCTCCTCACCTTGTGACTATAACAGTTTGCACTCTTCTGGGAAGACTTTCTAAACATTTTTGGAATGTGTTTTGGGAATTTAGGCCCATTTAACCAAAAGAGAATTCGTGAGGTTAAAATCTTATACAGGGCAAGAAAACCTGGCTTGAAATCTGTGTTTAAAGGATAAGTTCACCTTTGGGAACATGTTACAGGTTTCACCCATTTTTAGAGTAGAACATGTAACATGTTTCCACTTTTGCAGCCACCATCCACTGTCCTCTCTCTCTATGACAGCAGTACAGGGAGAAGTTCCCCATACTAGCTGTCACTTTTTGAAAAAAGCACGAATGTGCGTGGCTCTGTCCACACAAATGCGTCATTCATTCACATAATTCTGTGAATAAATGACCTACAAGTCCCGACAACCTTAGCGGCTTTCAACTTGTAGTTCTCAATGAACTACCACGGAGCTGTTGAGCGCTGTGGTAGTTCATTGAGTCTTCCTGTCAGACTGTATCTGTTTGCCTGTACGGGATGTACGAGCACACAGATACACAGACAGGTTTGCAGGAGTCCTGCATGACACCAGCGATCTGCTGATCGTTGGTGCAATGCTTTCCAGGCTCCAAAAATAAACCAAAAAAAAAGTAAATGCACGTTTTTTTTACCTAAAAAATGGACATTTGTTTTTGTTTTTAAAAAACTGAATTTTTATCTACATACTTACCTCTAAACTCCCATTTCTTAGAGTACATCAAGGGACACAGAGCAGGCTATTCAAGACTGTGTGGGTTATATGCCACCTATAGGTGAATGGACACTGGCTGACGAATTAGCGAGGAAGTCCTCCCCTATACAACCCTTCCTACACAGGAAGTACTTCAGCTTTTGTAGCAAGCAATGAAATTCCAGAAACGGGAGAAACCTCTGTGTCCCGTGATGTACTCCAAGAAATGGATTTTACAGGTAAGTATGTAGAAAAAAAATCCAGTTTTCTTTATCGTACATCACAGTACACAGAGAAGGCTACTCATGACTATATGGGATGTCCAAAAGCAGTAAAGACATCGAGTGGAGGGTGACACCATGATAGCCAGCATCAATAATCCCTTTAGGACCTACCCAGCTGTCTGTAATTCCACTGCGGCTCTGACATCCATCAGGAAGAACCTTGTGAATGTGTGAACCGAAGACCATGTAGTGGCCTTGCAAACCTGAACCACTGACGCCTGATAGCAGACTGCCCAAGATGCCCCCCTAATAGAGTGTGCCTTCACCCGAAAGGGTAAGACCTTACCTTTCAAACCATGAAATGATGAATTGGCAGATCCAATGTGAAATCGTCACCTTGGATGCCGCCTGCCCCTTCTTAGGCCCCTCTGGCAGCATGAACAGAGCATCTGACCTGTGCAGTCACCTTTAAGAAGACCCTTACAGCACGGACCTCATCCAAGGTATGCAGAGATCTTTCCCTTGCTGACTGTGGCCTAGGAAAGAATGAAGGCAGAATGATGTCCTGATTGAGATGAAAACTAGAAACCAACTATGGTTAAAAAAAAAAAAAAAAAAAAGGTCGGTTGAGGTCGCAACACCACCTCATCATGATGCAAAACCAGAAATGGTTCTCTGCAAAAAAGAGATGCCAGCTCCAACACCCTTCTTATAGAAGTGATTTCCACTAGAAAAACAAACTTACGAGTCAACAGGACCAGAGGAATCTCTTTAATAGGTTCAAATGGTGGTTTTTTGCAAAACCTCCAAAACCAAGTTCAGGTCCCAAGGACACAAAGTAACCTGACAGGAGGAGCAATACACATTACTCCCTGTAAAAAAGTGCAAACCAAAGAGTGAGATGCAATGGGCCTCTGGAAGAAAAACAGCTAATGCTGAAACCTTAAGGCCCTTAATGGTACCAACAGCCAGTTTCTTCTCCAACCCCCTTTGAAAAAAACAACAGAATCCTACCAATCACATACTTTCGTGGTTGCCGTTTCCGGACCTCACACCAGGAAATGTAAGACTTCCAAGTTCTGTAATAAATGTTCCTAGATACTACCTTTCTAGCCCCCAATATGATGGGGATGACAGAATTAGATACTCCCCTATCCTTTAGGATCTGGATTTCAATAGCCATGCCGTGAAATTCTAGTCTGTACCCCAGAAAAATTGTGGAAATTACCCACTTGTCTTGGATGACTGCCCTCCAGGCAGCAATAAAATTCAAAAAACCTTCAAAAGATTACAACTCCTGGTATACCCAGGCAGTCTACCCTCCAAGTAGTAACCAGGACTTGACCCTGATTAGATTCAGAATTCAGACGATATCAGGTGTGTACAGGGTAATGCGGGCGTAGTCCATTGAAGCTCCGCCACCCGGAATAGCTGCAATGCCAGGCAAACACAGTGGCCCAGATACCCCTGACACCACTGGTTTATTGTGAAATGCAAATACTGCCAGATTACCCCCGTCCCCCCCAAGTCCACTGGACCCGAGGGAGGTGTACCTGCCTCTCTGCTGGCTAACCCTTTTTGAGACTAAGCGAAAATAAGGCAGAAACTATATTGTATATTGTCATCTAGCTATGCAGTCCCGCATATGTCCATAGCCATCTTGGTCTACAGTTATGCGATCGCACAGGCAAGCAAGCCTGATCGAGGGGGCACACTGGACACCTTAGCTGACATTGTGCTACATGCTGGGTGTCTAGTGCGCTCCTGTACCTTTAAGGAGGGGTGGGCTCCCTCAGGTTCACCTGCCCTTGGTCTATCCATTAAATACATGTGCCTCTACTATGGGGGCTCTTAAAATTTGTAGAGTTAGGAACTACAGAATACTGGGGTGCCGTGACGCGGCTCTGTAGCTTATGCATGTATTTGCAAATGTGTGTTAACTAAACCCCTGTTTTTAATGCAGACTGTTAGACAGGTTAATTCCGTTTGTTTGCAAACTGGCTGGCAAGTTGAGCTGGGAATTTTTCTGTTTTGTTGTTTATCATCCATGTGCTCCTTGCTGTGAAGGCCAGTTATAGACTGGAACAGTGGCAATTTTTTGTAAAGCATGCAGCTACATAGGCATGTAAGTATGCAAATTATACCAGTACCCAGTTCACACAAGTATGCATATAAGTATGCAATTTATGCAGTTCGCGCAAGTGTAAATATGCAGTCTATACTAGTATGCATTTAAGTATGCACGTACTAGACTTGTTCTTTTCTTCACTCCATACAGACTACAGTGTGCCTTTGGGGTATCATGCTACAGAAAGTATAGGACATGCTAAAGGCTCTGATGAGATTAGGAAATCTCCTCTAAAGCCATATGGGAAAGGAAGCAAGTGGAAACAAGAGGACTTGGAGGTTGAAGAGGAGTATCACAGTTAGGTTAACATTCATGACCGAAGACCTGCCAGATGAGGATCAAGAGGATGACTGTACATATGAGCCCAGTAAGTCATCAGAGACTGACCGTGAAGAAGAAAAATTAAAAAAATGACACGGAACGACTTGGAAAAGAAGAAAAGGATGGCATTTTGATGTTGAAGGAATCTACACACGACATGCCAGCCAATGAGGGACAAATGCAGAATGGAGAAACTGAGCCTAACGCAGAGCAGAATGGAGAAACTGAGCCTAACGCAGAGCAGAATGGAGAAACTGAGCCTAACGCAGAGCAAAATACATCTTCAGCAGAATGATCTACTAAATGTGCCCAGCTGTGTGGCGTGTCCTAACCTAATCCGTTCAGTCATAATGACTGGCTACCTGTAATTTTGCTACTCTGTTAATAAATATTTTTCAATTTAAAAAAAAAAAAAAAAAAAAAGGGGTCTGAGATTAAAAATACCATTTCAGTCTTTGCAGATGACACCAAGTTGTGCAGTGGAATAACGTCCTTACAGCATGTCTCCAATTTACATGCCGACCTCAATGCACTGTTTAATTGTGCAACTATGTGGCAAATGAGGTTTAATGATGATAAATGTAAGGTTATGCACTTGGGAGCTAAGAATATGCATGCATCATACATACTAGGGGGGATACAACTGGGGGAATCAATGGTGAAGGATCTGGGAGTTCTGGTAGATCACAAGCTTAATAATGGCATGCAATGCCAAGCTGCGGTTTCTAAAGCAAGCAAAATCCTCTACTGTATTAAAAGAGGTATAGACTCCAGAGAGAGATATAATTTTACCCCTGTACAAATTAGTAAGACCTCATCTGGAATATGCAATTCAATTTTGGGCACCAATTCCCAAAAAGAACATCGGGGAACTGGAGAAAGTACAGAGAAGAGCAACCAAACTGATAAAAGGCATGGAGGAGCTCATCTATGAGGAAAGATTAGAGGAACTGAATGTATTCTCTCTTGAGAAGAGGAGATTAAAAGGGGGATATGATCAACATGTATACATACATCCATGGTTCATATAGTGAACTCGGTGTAGAGCTATTCACCCTGAGGTCATCACAGAGGACAAGGGGGCACTCTTTACATCTGGAGGAATAGAAATTTAATCTCCAAACACAGAAAGGTTTCTTCACAGTAAGAGCTGTGAAAATGTGGAATATACTCCCTCAAGAGTTGGTTCTGGCCAGCTCAGTAGATTGCTTTAAAAAAGGCCTGGATTCTTTATTGGATACACAGAATATAACTGGTTACTAACATTTATAGATAAAGTTGATCCAGGGAATATCTGATTGCCTCTCGGGGGATCAGGAAGGAATTCTTTCCCCTGCAGGAGCAAACGTGATTATGCTTTGCTGGGTTTTTGGCCTTCCTCTGGATCAACTGTGGGTGT